CTAGAACCAGCAGCTTTCCTCCTCTTACAGGGTATGCCCTGCTCCAGACCCAGGCTGGCAGAAGTACCCCAGTCAGCATTTGCTTAGAGTTAAGTCTATTGCTTTTTATAGGCAGCACTGAAAAAAGGGCTTACCAAAGCTGTTACAAATGTAAACATGCACCCTGAATATCACAGAGATGAGAGGAGGTATGTTGGTCTCCAATGTGGAGGCTTGGCTCATGTAGTCCCACTGGTCCAGGTGTCACTGGCACTTTCTGGCTCTTCCATGGGGCTCAGGACAACAAAAAGTGCGATGCCAACAGCTGGATAGCGATGAGCCTTGCTCTCCCCATCAGTGCAAATCTCATGTCATGGCTTCCATGAGGAGAATCATCACTACAATAACTGCAAGCTGGAGTTACAGGATATTGCCCTGAACCAGTCACTGGAAGCAGAACATACCTATCAGTATGAATTCTGAATCAACGAGCAAAAAGAATACCCTTGCCTAAGATAAAAGACTGGTATCACCAGATCTGCTCTACACCATTTGACAGATTTTGCTTTATGCTTATACGACCTTTTCCTTTCTTTAAGTTTTTGCTTCTGCATTCAAAAGCATGATTTTATACAAGTTCTAGTAAAGATGACTTTGAGTGAAAATGATTCATTTGTTCTGGAGCACTGTTAAGACCCATTTTTAGAAAGAATGGAAAAATACAGTCATGATAAAAGAACTTTGAATGAAGACAAAGGTAAGCTCTTTGGGAGTGCAGCCAAAGCTCTGGGTGTGGGAATCACGTTCCCAGAAGTTCCTGCTTGACAGCTGGCTGCAAAAGACTGGAGCATGGGGAAAAACCAGAGACTGGTGTGCAAGAGCAACTAAAGGTCAAAGCAGCAAAGAAGGAAAATGAAAATATGAGATCATTCTGTTGGGAATTGTGTATTTATTAACGACAGGTTTTGAGAAAGGTCTGTCAGGAAAATGAGAATTTGCTTGAGAGACAAAACAAGAAGAATCTTACATTGAATTCGGAAAGAGTAGCACCACCTATTGGTGACCATTTGGGGTGGCAAAATGCTGGCATATTCCCAATTTCACTTATGCAGATAAAGGAGAAAATCTGCTGCTACTGTGACATCTGTTTTTATAATGGCACCTGAAATATTTATAAAGATGGGAATCTTAGTTGCTCTTCTTGTGGCATAGTTGATGTCAATCCTCAATAATGCCCTAAGTTCTCAAAAGATACATAGATTTTAGCTTAAGAAGACATGATTTGGCCAGCATTATATCTGACCTAATTTAAATTAAAATAAGAGAAAATCCACAGAAAACCCTTTCCCCTGTGTCTCACACTTACCAGTATTTAAAAATACAAGAAAAACTCGCCATATGCACTAACAAGCATCAGAGTGGAAAAGACTACAAGATAAATATCTGCAATAAAGAACATGGTGCTTTCTCTCCAAAGTGTCTAATCAATCAAAATGTATTTTGCTGTGCATATTTGCCTATTATATTTGCTGACTTGTGTGAGTAAGTCTTATAAATATTGACAGACTTGTGCTTTTTGGGAAAGAAGATTTCAGTAAGGAGCAATCCATCATAGCATCAGCACTCTTCGGAGCTGTTTAGACATAAACTAGGACTTCTTGGGTTGTTCTAGGGGCCCTCAGTTATCACTTGTCATTGCTATAGGAATGGTTACTGGATGGTTACCCTCAGTAAAGGAGTTTCTATCCCACCACATGTAGCTTGGATATGGTGCAATTAGTTTGTCTATTCCCTGTTCTCATCTTCCTTTATTTACTTCTTTTGGTGTTTGTTGTTTTGGTGCTTTTTTTCTTTTATGGCTAGCCTGTTAGAAACCTCCACTCACAGGAAGCAGACTTGTGTGCAGTTCAGACAGGTTAAACACTAGTGGGAAAGGCTAATGTGGAGAGAGTTGATTAAGGTCCCTCAGGAGCTGCAGTTGATGCCCAGGTTATTGCCAAGTACCAGCAAGAGCCTCAGCTTTCCCTGATGTTCATTTGCTGTTTGTCAGCAGCTGGTAGGACCAGGCCACATTCCTGCAAGCTCTATTAACGTATAATTGGATATGTTCACTGATGTTCCCAAAGAGCATTGTTTTATCTCTTGCCTTAGTTATCTTTTACTCATTTAACAGCTGGTTTAATGACAGCTACAGGCAAGAGGGAGCAATTCTGCTGGGGCCTGCCTGAGCTCGGCCCAGCTGCGCGGCGCTCCCGCCCTCGCACCCACTCAAGCTGGCCTGAGACACAGAGGCCACAGCTCACATCTCTGTCTACTGCATCTGCATATTACTTTGGAGGAAAAGCAGCTTAATTTCTTTCTGTTTGATATTTCTGAATGCAGTGGTCAATTCTATCAACTATTATATTATATATCTACAATACAGTTATGTATAAAGTGACAATACGGTTATGTATAAAGCAATAATATAACTATAACATAAACTAATATAACTACATTATTATCTGGATTTTATAAAAAACTTGGAAAGGTACTTATACACTCAAAGTGTTCTTGGAAAATGTGAAATCTCAGGGGAAATTTTGTGTAGTAGGGATGAATTGTGGCTTAGATGAACAGGACTTACGGCACCTATATTTTAATGATTCAAACTACTCACTAAATAGGATTTAAAAATAAAATATATCTTAGAAATTACCAGTTTGCATAATGTTGTCCTTTGCTGAGACTTTGCAGTAAAATTGAAAGCAGACCTCAGCAACAACTTAAGTTTGGGCAAAGATTATAAACTCTGGAAAACAACCCAAATCTCTGTGCAGAGATGCAGCATGTGATGCTTCTGTTCTGCACTCTGTGTGTTAAAAATAAAAGATCTATCCTGATATAGAACCAGAAAGAGAATGAATGTTTCAAACTAACTGATAGCACTGAAATTTTTCCTGACAAAACCTTATTTTAGACACCTTGTTTTCTGGAAAGCTACAAGTAACAGCTTACAAAAGAATAACATTTTATAATGTTGATAAGCTATTTGCTTAATTTTCAGCAACTTGTATTACATTTTCCTAAAACCATAGACTTCAAAGGTAGGATTGCTAGCATGCAAGAGGCTATGTAACTATAATTGCTGAGATATTCTTTTAAATTATTTGAATCTGTTGATTGTCCTGAAAACTAATATTTTTTTTCTGGCAGTGCATATTCAATAAACAGAGAACAGCACAAATTGTGATGGCTCTCTTCACTGCTCCTGCATCCCTCTGGTAGGAAATCAGAAATCTTTTCTAAGCTCCTTTCACCTTAGGCCATTTGAAATAATTGAAGAAGCTACCTAGTCAAATCCAGTAGCTTGAAACTTGGGAGCTGCTGATTTTATACCCATATATTGCCATAATGTGGTATTTAGTCTTGTGGATCCTATATCATGCATTATTCAGGCAAAAACGTATTTATCCTTGTTTAAGTAGAAAACAGTTAAAAATGGAAGATTTGAAGCAATCTGCCTGTGAAAGCGAGAGAGAGAGGCAAGGATAGGGATAGTATGTGCACTGAGCTACCTGTCTTGTACCTCACACTTTGACCTGCTGCTTTGGGCTTCTGAGACAGAGCCAAAGGGCATAACTGGCACAGCTACATGGAAGGCAATTGGCCTTCTGAGGAGATCCTGTCTCTTGTCCTTGTTACCTGTAAAATGGGAAAGATCCTTACTCAGTTCCATCTCACAGACTGATGAAAAAATCCATGCTTTCCATTTCAGGCTTTGGAGACCTCAGGCAAAAATAAAAGATACATGCAAGTGTTGTACAACCAAAATGATAAAATAAAGAATGGAATGTTTAAATGAAAATGTGTATTGGGTGTTTTTGTACATGCAAAGGCTTCTCTGAGATCAGCTGTTCCCTTTTTATGCCACTGTGAGTTTCCATTGATCTTTTTGGAAGGACTCGAACCAAGCCCCTTCTGACATATGTGTTCTTAGTCTGGACCAGTGACACGATCAGTCTTCTGAGTCACCCTTATGCTTTCATGACACAGTGCTTGCACTGCTATATTGTACTGAGACTCACAGATTCCTAAATACAAATGCCTGTTACTGTAGGTTAAGGCAGAAAACCAGGAGCAATTACAATCCCTACACAGCCCTGCCACATAGGACACATCACCAGGATATACTTGAGCATGGGGCCACATAGCAAGACCCTAAACACAAGATTTCTGCCAAGGAAATCTGTTTCTCTCCAGCCAGCACAGGGGTGAGGAAAAAAGAAAGGAGCCGCAGCACTGCCCTGTACATGACAATAATATCAGCCCTGCAGTGTAGGAACAACAAAACTGGGGCAAACAGTGGGGAGGGGAAAGTTGAAGGCACCTTACAATCTAATAAACTCATGTCTGATTAATAAAGGAGCAAAAGCAAATGCAAGAACCTCGCAGGCCTGCCTACACAAAGGACTGGGGAAAAGCCTAAAGTAAGGCTAATCCCTTCACAAACCCTTACTCCTACTTCTTCTACTCCTCACTGAGTTTAAGACCCATTTAAACCTTATCCAAACAACTCCAATCAGCACTTTATGGACATCAGCTGCAGCCATGGCACTGACATTAGCCCTGGAGGCAGCACCACCTGTATGTCCTCCTCTGACAGACCCCACCTTGACTGAAGGAGGAATGCAGCAGAAGGTGGGATGGAATCACAGAAATTCAAAGCAGCAGCATGCAGAAAAACAAATTTGTAAGGTAAGGTAAAAAGCAGAAGAACACACAGCCACTATAAGAAAAAAGGCAGGGGGTACACCAATGTGGTAAACTGAAAAAGGAGGAGGAATGACAGACTTCCAGAATGGGTAAGATTGGAAAGGATCACAGTGGGTCATTTAATCCAAACTCCCTGCTCAAGCAGGGCCATCCTAGAGCACATGGCACAGGATTGTGTCCAGATGGTTCTTGAGTATCTCCATGGAAGGAGTTTCCACAACCCCCTTGGGCAACCTGTTCCAGGACCTAGTCACTCACACACTCACCTGGTCCCCTCTCAGTCATCTCGTGTTAGGGTTGAAGAGGCCCAGCTCCCTCAGCCTTTCCTCATAATGGAGGTGTTCCCAACCCTTAATCACCCTCACAGCCTCTGCTGGACCTGTTCCAGGAGCTCCATGTCTCTCTTGTACTGAGGAGCCCAGAACTGGACACGGAACTCCTGCCCCTCCCCAGGGCTGAGTAGAGGGGCAGGATCACCTCCTTCAACCTTGTCCTAGGGTGACGTTATGATGTTTGTATCCCCAGTTGTCTGTTCTGTTTATGCTGGATATTATATCCCGTACCTTCAAGACTGGCTCTGAGAGTGAAGGCGGGGAGAAGAGGAAGCATGGAGTTTGTCAGCCGCCTGCACTCACTCCTCCACATTCTGCTGGACTGTGTTGTCTAGGCAGAATAGGGCCCTCCTTTTCTTTTTAGTTAGTTTATCTAGCTGAGGCACAGAAGTTTTCCTTTTCCCTGGACTGGTTTTCTTTCCCTTTTCTTGGAACTGTTTGAACCTGCTCCAGACCGGGACCCGGGGAGCACCGAGAGCTTGCATCTTGTGGCCTACCCAGGCCTGCTCTGGGCAGCAGCTTTTCCCAGCGCTGGAGGGACTGATAATAAAGCAACCACCCACAGGAGAGACTGAGAGACTTTCTGAATTTGTCATCTCTTCAGAGTGGTGAATGAGTTTTGTCATGTGGTGCTGTTCATTTTTTGTGCTGGGGATTGCTTTACCTGTTAAATAAGCAGGTTTTTTTCCCACTTCTCTCCAAGGAAATTTTTCCTGAACCAGTTGGGGTGAGGGGCCATGTAATTCATCCAAGTCACTGATGAATAAATTAAACAGTACTGGGCCCAATATTGAACCCTGGGGGACACCACATGTGACAGGCCTCCAACTAGACCCTGTGCCACTGAGTATGACCCTCTGGGATTTGCTGTTCAGCCAGTTCTCAATCCATCAGGAAGGAGGAACTGTTAGAAGAGTGAGAAGATTTATCATTAAAAATACCCCTCTGCTCTTCCCAATGTGTTTGAGAACACGTTCATTGTGCACATGCAGCTTATCTCTATAGCTCAGAGAAGAGAATAGATCAGCTCTCCGCTGCCACCTCGACTGATAGACAGCTGTTGCTGTGGCAGAGTGACAGCTGAAAAGCCATGTGATTGATTCCAACACTGTCTTGCTCGATTGCAACTAACAAGAGGCTTGTGTTCACTCTGCCTTTATTGAAGTGATTTCTTCTAATTGTCTATTTAACACATTAAAAAATACTGGGAGATGCAGGTCAGTGCTCCAGTAAGCTGCTGTTCGGGCAATGTTTCCCAGGTACAAATGAAGATTTGCTTATGCTCAACACAAAGGCTGAAGAGAAAAAAATTAATGATCTTATCAGGTAAAGCAGGTGTTGTGGTCACACCACCAAGGTCACTAGCATTAACAAAACACTTTGAAAACAGAGCTGTGGCGTGTTCTCAGCAAGGTGCTAGAGTGTTGTAGAGATAATGTACTCAGCCTCGAGGGGAAAAAATATGATGCGCTAACACTCGCTAACAGCTGTTAATGGCAGAGAATTGTGGACAGGAGAAGGATGTTTGACCTACCAGTCCTTTGGAGGAAGATGTAAACAACTGGCTCGATTCCCCACTGCCTTGCCCCTGCTATGGCCTTCTATGCTTATGCCAAGTAAATGCAGCATATATGCTAAATGCTCTCACAGAAAAAGAGCTGAGCTTTGCCACCACTTGCATGGATGTAAAAATCTACAAAAACTGCAAGGTAGAGGAAAACTAGGGCGTGCAAATGCAGGGAGAGGGGTTTATGCAAGAATAAAGCAAATAGGGAGACTCAGAAATGCAGATATATAGCAACTAAATGAAAGCGGCATCTTTTAACTCTGCTAAGCGGTGCCCCAGGAGTCCTGAGTCACTGCTACTACCCTCCATGACAAAAATACATTGTTACTGCCTCTCTTTTCTGAGCCCGTGGCAGGGCCATCCCATCTAGGAAAGAGAAAACACCACTCCCTTCTGCATCAGCAGACTGGGCAACCCAAGGCCAGCTGCACACCTGACTTTTGCCTAGCTGACACCTGCAGGAGGGCCACCACAGGCCCTGCCTCACTTGGCAGAGCAATGGCATTTCAGGATGAGGAGCACAAGTTGTGCCATCATCCAAGCTCAAACACCCTCAGGTCCTGCTCCACTCCACCAGCAAATCCACACGTGCCTTACAGCCCTGCTTGAGGGAGCAGCAGTGTTTCACTCACCATAACTCTGATAAAGGTGTAGAAGCAATAAAGAAGCATTTATACTGCCCATTGCAGTGCAAAAAGAGATGGAAAGCTACCTACTTGTAAATGAGCATATGGATCCAGAAGTCACTTGGAGAAGTCAGCACAAGACACTCTGAAGAGACCACAATGACCTCTACTTTCTCAGTGACACACCATCACTGAGAAATATCTCCCTTCAAGAGGCTTTGGATTAATGAGGCTGAAATTCCTAAGCATGTCTCCAGAGATGGAAAATGGACTCTATAGGGCCCAATGAAAACATGCAACATGAGGTACATCTTTTCTGAAGCTTGAAGTGCCATCCTTTAGCAGATTTAGACATAGATTTAACATTCAACAGAAATTTTTAGAAACCAAACCAAAGCGAAAACCAGAGCGTGACAGTTTGTGCCATCTGCATGGGATATGAGCATGAGTTTTAATGACACTAGATAAAACATTATTTTAAAAAATTATGTTTTAAAAAATCCATTTACTGATTATAAACCCTCTATGAAAAAAAAGCTAGTGGCATGTGCACTTGCACCTGCTGCTGTTTTGTGCTCCAGATGACTTCTTGCATAGGAGGTTCTGCATCAGTGGGGATAGCAATTCACTGGTAGGCATCCTTCCTCCTTTCCCATCCTTTTTCTGCTGCACTAGTAAAGCAGAGTCAAAAAAAAAAAAAAAAAAATACACCCAAAATTACTCAGTGGGGTGAGGGCAGAACAGAGTACTGGAAATGCATAGTATTAGAGAGTAGGCTACCACTGTGATGAAATGAGAGCTACATTTTGACAGTATTCTCTGGTGCCTGCACTGTGCAGAAGGTCAAGACTTGACTATGCATACTCTGATCCTCCTGGAGACTCAACACCTCCTCAACTGCACAGCAAGCATTTCAAGCTATTTCTATTTTTATGAACTTTCTAGACACTTTCCTCATCTTCCATATAAAAATGTGTCTTTACTGTATCCCAAGCCTCTCCACCCACTAAGCTATTTGCAATTCCTCTACCACTATTGAAATAGATGCTGTATAGAATCAGAAACCACAAGAAAACAATGAGAGTAGTAAGCAGACCTGTATTTAATTAAGAATTTATACAATATGTTGCAATTTTTTAAAAGACATTTCTATAGAAAATAAGAGACATTATTTTCCCTCAACAGCTACATTTCTCCATTTGACATATTGTAGACCAAATTAAGCTCTTTTCCCTTCTGGAGCTCCTCAGACTCCAGAAAATTGCAGGTTTAACTCCTCAACAGTAGCTGTGTCTGCAAACTAGTTCTACTTCACACGTGCTTGGCAGCCCAGTATCAAAGCAAAGCAGGAATGCTTTCCCCTACTGGGCACCAAATTCTCCTGCAGCCAGAGCTGAGGGCTGCACCCATGAACTGCCAGCTGAAGTAGTGCACCCTGTCCCAGTGCCTACTGAGGTAGCTCAGAAATAGTTTAGGGAAGGGACAAGAATGGCTGCAAATGCTCTTTCCATGAGTTTTCATAGCAATATGAGTTTTATACGTCGCAAGAGCCAAACACATATAACCAATGTAGAAAGCTTCAAAAATGTTGGAGACCTTGCTCCTTTTTCCTGTATTTTGGCCATGTGCTCCTCTGGTACACCTCAATCACAAGAAATTTACCTGAGAAAGAGTTTTTGGAGAAAACAGATCAGGAGTAATGCTACGTGTTCACCATTCCCAAGTGGTGTGTTCCTACTTGGAGTGCCCAGAAGAAGATCAATAATACACACACCTCTGCTGCTGTCACTGTACGTGTACATGACCAATGCCTCCCTCCAAACAGCACAGGTGTAAGACAGCAGCCTAATGTTTGTAGCCCTTTGAGAACAAGTAACAGGAACGATAGCACCAAGCTGAAACCCCTCTATTTTTTCTATTCACATTACATTAAAAATCAAACAGTTATAATTCTGCTATAACCAACTCAGCCTGGATTAAAATACAGGATCTAAAGGCAAATTAAATTTCACCATCCACATTAAGAAATCAATTCAGCTTCTGAACTGGATCAGCTTTGAATTTAGTTGAAATGCGGTTTGATGAAAGACTCCTGTTCAGCAGCAGATATAATTATCACACCCATCTTAATTAGACCATGAACTTGACTTTAGGATCCCCAAAGGAGTATTGAAAGCTTGGTCCAGTTACACTGAACTTGGTCCAGAACACTGAAACTTATCCATCAAGATAAATATATTACCAGTTCTTTGATACAACAGATGCTTGATGAGTAATGGAGCAAATGCCTTTTTAACTATGGTTTTTTAAAAGGATTATTAAACTGCACTAAAGTGTATGCTGTTATCTTTGTAGGGAAAAAAAGTATAATATATGAAAAACAATTATTACAGAGCACATGGAACACAATTTTTCAAGCACTAGTTTCAGAATTAAAAACATTTGAACAAAGGTTCTCTGTGGAGTGTCACTTTGTAACTAATTAAAGGCTTTAAATAGCTATTGTTTAAAAAAATTGTCAGTTATAGAAATTGTTTTCCCTTCAGATTCCAAATCCTGTCAGACCACGCTGATTAAAATGTTGCATTAAAAAAAGGGGGGGGGGGGCGGTTAAAAAAAAAAAAGGGGGGGGGGGGGAGACAATCTAATCTCCCCTTATAAAAGTAAAAGCAGCAACTCAGTTTTTAAAGTATCATGAACAAAAGGCTGTAGCCCATCTATCATTCACATATGGATCCATGTAATGATTCTTCAATTAGA